TTTTTTTTTTTTTTTTTTGGCCATTGTTGTTTTAGCTGGCCAGGCTGAGTTTGAAACTGCCAACCTCTGAGTTATGGGCGCTGCTTGAAAATTTTTCTAATCAAATTTTAGGGAGGAGGGTAGTAATAAGCTCCTTTATATTTTCATGAGACCAGGTTCTGAAGTTTCCTCAACAGTAGCACAAGATCAAAAAAGGGGGAAAAAAATCCATGCTCACGTTAATGAAACTGAACTTCAGAGTGAAAAAGAGAAGCCTCTACTAATATCAAAACAACAGAAAAGACAAAATGGCACTGCCTAAGTCAGTAACACCAAATGGGTTTTGATTTCCATTCCTATTCTATCCCTCTCATGATAGCTTCTAGGAACACTCTGGTGAAAAGAACATGAAAGCCGTATTAGCTTTGGGAGGAAAGAGTACAGATATTTACTGATTAGTGACCTCTGTCACTCAGGAGTGGGAGAAATGACACATGTGCTCCCCTTGCTGTAAATTCATCAACTATTTACAAACTACAGGTTCTGCCAAACCTTCTGTCTGGACAGATCATTTTTTTCACAGATGTGATTCTTTGTTGCAGTTTGGCTGGGGCATTGCCTGGGGCTGGGTTTGAACCCTCCACTCTTAGTATATGGGGCCAGCCCCTTTGATATGATTCTTACATACAGATAGCCATCATTTTTCATATTCTAATCTAGCTGTGGAAATAAAATATATTTTAAATGAATAAGGACTGTCTCCCTGAAGGGTAACTATTAACCCAGGGGGCCATCCAGCAGCACTCAGGACACCCCATTCTATTACCTGGCCGAAGACAAAGCAGTACAGGGTCACACCCATGGCCCAAACATCCAAAGCCTGCAAGAGAATGAGAGCTCAGTGTTAGGGAACAAAGGGGTGCTGTCACTGCTTTTGCCTGTCTAGTATTCCTTTGGGGGAAACCACCTCTCTTTGACTTTCAGTCCATAGAACTGGGACTATGAACTGGGACAGTCCAGCAGACCTGAGGCCCCCAGCCTTTGAGCCCCCCAGAACATGACTTAGGCCAGGCCAATTAGAGCACCACTCATCCCAACCATAGTGATTGATTCAAGGACAGACACACTGGGCCAATCAGAGCCAGCCTAGGGTTTTTTGCTAGCACTAAGCAGAAAGAGATGCTCTACATGCTGAGATTGGTAAACAGTAGAAAGTGGCCTGAAGCTCCTGCCTGACCCACCAGTGGAGGAAACCAATTCAGAAAAATAGAACTGAAAGATGGAGAGATACAGTTTCTACTTAAGTCCCTGGAGATGGCCAATCCTAAAGCCAAACATACCCCACTCTTCAACTATTTCCCAGTGGAGTCCCTGTCTAAGCCCTTTTGAGTTGAACTTTTGCCACTTAACAACCCAAAGGATCTTAACACAGGCAGAACCCAGTAGCTCAGGCAGGCCCAAACCTACCTTCCCAGAGAAAATCTTGCGGGTCTCCGAGAGCGACTCGGGCGCCATGAAGGCAGGCGTGCCCACAGTGTTAGAGAGGAGTGCGTCACTGCCCTTGAACTCATTGCTCACACCAAAGTCGGCGATCTTGATGTGCCCATCCTCTCCAACCAGGAGGTTGGAAGGTTTGATGTCACGGTGGATGATCTTCTGGTAGTGTACTGGGGATGGGCAGACAGCAGATGAGAGAGAGGGATAGGAAAACCTCAGGAGTGCCACATGGCCACATGGACTGGAGACAGAGACATGGCACTCTGGTGCCTCCTCTAGTGTGGCCCAGGCCTTGCCCAACCTTTCCCTCCCCAAACCTGCTGGGTACCCACATGCTCTGAAAATATGAAGGAAAGAATGTTTTCAAGAAAGAACTCCCCACTCTCGTTCTCAAACATAAAGTGTAAGATACTGACTGCCAATAGCAATTTGCAATCCCCTGTCATTTATTAAGTTATTAAGTTATAAGTGACAGTGCACAGTTTTTGCTGAGCCTGCCTCCGAGCTAGAAACTGAGATGGGTGACAGAGTTTCATTTACCAACAGCCAATGCTCAACTTGTTTGTCAAACCAAGAATGATCAAAGCAGGTTGCTTTAAAGTATGAATGGGAAAGTAGAATTGGGGATTTGGCTGTTTTCTGCCTGGATGGCAGCAGGACATAGCAGAGATGGTCTGGAAAACCCAACTGCCATTTCTGGGGAGATGATGATAATCAATAAAAGCAGCAGCAGCTCCCTCTGTTGAGCACCCAATCAGGGGCCTCGCTCTGGGTTAGAGTTTCACATCTATCCCAGTTAAACTTTATGACAAGCCTATGTAATGAGCAGGCCAAAATGTTTAACAACCAGGAGCAGAAGGACACCTGCCAATCAGAACCACTGATGTGCCCTAGTGAGAGACACTTTATCCCCATTTTACAGATGAAGAAACTAAGACTCCAGGAGGTTAGCAGGACCCCATCTCAGGGTTGCTGTGAGGAACAAGAAACGAGGCAAGTACAGCCCCTAACAGGTCCCAGTACACATAGAAACTGCTGGATAAATGGTCACTATTGCTGTTGCTCTTCATTTGTCTGTAGGCAGGAAGATGTCTGCCCACCAGGGGATAGCCCCCAGGGTGGCTCTCTGCAGCTGCCTCCAGATCTGCATCTCACATAATTCTATTTCTTGCCCACCTCCTCATGCTCCAAGAAGGAAATAAGACACTTCCTACTTCCCACCCACCAGCTCAGAAAGCTAATACCCCATGGGGGAGAGTCTTCCCATGACCCCCACTTACAGTACTCAATTCCTTTGATCAGATCCTGGAAGTAGAAACGGGCCTGATCTTCTGAGAGCGGTTTGAGGGTGGGCACTTCCATCACAGGCCTAAAAGGTCAACACATGCATGAACACACAAACCAGGCCCATCTGGCCCTGGCTGTCTCTCATAGCAGCGCCCAGCACCACCTCACTCAGCTCTCCAGCTCAAGAAGCCTCTAGCATCTCACCTGCCAGGAGCTGGGACACTCACCCTTGGTTGACCAGTTCAAACACTGCAGGGAAGAGAAGGGTCAATTGTTACAGTGGGAAACAGAGAATCCAGTCCCCCTCAGTCCTGGCTACCAGAAGCACCAAGAAACACAGAAACTAATATTAATCAGGGCTAGGGAGAGGAACAGTCCACTGAACCAAAGCTGGTCAATGTCCTTTGCTAAGTTCCCATTAGGAGGTTAAAAACCAGAGACCCCAGCCTGGCTTCACTTCCAGTGCTCAAAATAGCCAAGGATCCACTGGCCAAAGAAAACAAAGCAGGGGAGGAAGGAAGGCAGGTGGGATTGCTCATGGACCCCTTCTCAACCCTTACTGGTTGGAGGCTCCAGGGATATGACTAATACTAAACTGTGTCACTTGTCACACCCAGGTCCTCAGGCACCTGATGCCAGAGAATGAGTCTAAGGGGATACAATCCAAATGGCAATTTTCTGAGGCCAAAAGAAGCAGACATATTAATGGGGCAAAAATACAGTAAGATAGTGAGGTAGAATGAACAATATTTGAAAGTATAACAAAGTATAATCAACAATAAGTTAGGCTATACTTTAAAATAACTGAAAGAGTAAAATTAGAATGTTCCTAACACCAAAAAAAGATAAATGCCAGAAGTGATGGATATTCCAGTTACCCTGATTTGATTAATTCATATTGTATCAAAACATCACATGCACCCTATAAAGATACACAACTATTACGAACTCATAATGAGTAAAAAATAAATTTAAAAAACTTAGGGGAGGGAGAAGGAGGTTCAATGGGTTTCTACTCAGCAGGAACAATGTGCAAGTATATGGCACACTTCCTGGGGGGTGAAGGACACAACTACAACTTGTAACCTAATTGTATGTACCCTCATATTAATCTAAAATAAAAACATGAGAAAGTAAAATAGTAAAAAAACAAACAAACACAAGTCTTTCCTTTGTGATAGTGTCTCCCAATCTATATCCACAAAATGTGCAATTATATATACACACACACTAATACACCTACATGTGCGTGTGTGAATAACTGGCTTCATATGCTAAGTATACTTGACAAAAAAAAGTGAAAGAAGCCCCAAAATAAAAAATTCAAAGTAGGCTGGGTGCAGTGGCAGGCACCTGTAGTTCTAGCTGCCTGCAAGGCTGAGGCAAAGAGGATCACTTGAGCCCAAGAGATTGAGGTTGCTGTGAGTTATGACACACAGCACTCTACCCAGGGTAACAGAGACCTTGTCTCAAAAAAAAAAAAAGGAAGAAAAAAAAATTCAAAGTGGCAACCATAGGGACCTTTCAAAACCCTAGGAAAGTTTCAATCCAGGAAACCACAGAAACAGGTGTCAATCACCTTATCTACATTCTCCAAGCTACAGCTGTGCCAGGCTACAGACCAAATGTTGTTGGATAACATGGCTCCAATTCTTTAACCTATGATCAGGGGAGTCTCTGACACTTTCCCATAATTCTCAACCCAAAGATCACCTGTCCCCAGGCCTTTGTGGGTTGTTTTTTATTTTTGAGACAGAATCTTAAGAAGGTAGAGTGCCCTAGCAACATAGTTCACAGCAACCTCGAACTCTTCAACTTGAGCAATTCTCTTGCCTCAGCCTCCTGAGTAGCTGGGACTACAGGCAGGTGCCACCATGTCCAGCTTCTTTTTTCTATTTTTAGTAGAGATGGGGGTCTCACTTTGCTCAGGCTGGTCTCGAACTCCTGAGCTGAAGAAATCTGTCCGCCTCCACCTCCCAGAGTGCTAGGATTACAGGCGTGGGCCACTGCATCTGTTCTCCAAACCTCTGTGATCCACATTCACACACAAATGCTGCATAGCATACCAGCTTCTTCCCAGCCCTGTGTTTATGGGAAACTACCCCTCCAACCACCAACTATTACATAAACTGTGTTCAGGCAATGCAGTTTTTTAGGGGTTGGAATTTTTTTAAATTTGTACAAATCAAAGTGAAATTTATATAACAAAATTAACCATGTTAAAGTATATAATTCAGTGGGTGGCACTTAGCAAATTCATAATGTTGTGCAACCACCACCACTATCTAGTTCCAGAACATTTTCATCTCCCCAAAAGAAAACTCTGTACCCATTAGAAGGCACTCCCCATTCTTCCTTCCTTCCATCCCCTGGATACCATCAATTTGCTTTCTATCTGTATGGATTTACCTATTCTGGACATTTCATGTAAATAGAATTGTATAACATTTGGTCTTTTGTGTCTGGCTTCTCCGATTTAACATAACGATTTTGAGGTGCATCCACGTTGTAGCATGGATCAGTCTTCATTCCTTTTAACAGTGTAATTCCATTGTACAGATAGACCACATTTTGTTTCTCCACTGATCAGTTAATGGGCATTTGGACTATTTCTACTTTTTAGCTGCTGTGAACAGTGCCGTGGTGAACACTCATGGACAGGCATTCACGGACAAGTATTTGTGTGGATACCTGTTTTCAATTCTTTGGAGCACATACATACCTAGGAGTGAAAATGCTACATCATGCATTCTATTTAATTTGGTTCAACTGGGACAAGCAACTGAGAACATGAAGCTATACTTCAAGAAGAGAAAAACCAACTCTGTGGATTTCAAAATCCAGTGAAGACTGACTTCAGAGTTGTTTGTTCTTCTGGAATCATTTACCCACAGTGGTGTGAGCGTGTGATAGGAACCAAAGCATTGTTTCAAGCTTTAAGAGGGTGAAGTAGTCAAGGACAGAGGGGAAGCTCCTCAGACATAAACAAGGCTTTAAACGTTCTGAAGAGAAAAAGAACTTAACTCCCCCAGGCTCTCCCTGTCTGTAGGTTCATCAGCTAGTGCTGGGCGAAACCAAGTTAGGGCAGATTTGTCCTTGCTTGGAGCTGTGGCTGGAAACAAATGCAGTGCTGAAGGTACAGTTTGCATAGACAACAGAGCACTGGCCCCCTCAGCTCTGGCCTTTCCTGCGTTGGTTATTTAAGTCCTAACTTGCAAGCTTCATGAAGTTCTGCACCTTCCTCCCACCCATTCAAGCACCATGAATCAGTCAGCATGAGAGAAGCTGGCCTGTTGAAATAGGTCTATTCTCAGTCACTAACAGTTCTGTCATGCTGAGCAGTGGGTGGGAATTTTTTTAACCTCTAGAACAGTGGTTCTCAACCTGTGGGTCGCGACCCTTTTGTAACAATGAAAATACATCCAGCATATCAGATATTTACATTACGGTTCACAACAGTAGCAAAATTACAATTATGAAGCAGCAATGAAAATAATTTTATGGTTGGGGGTCACCACAACATGAGGAACTGTATTAAAGGGTCACAGCGTTAGGAGGCATTAGGAAGGGTGAGAATCACTGCTCTAGAAAGATAGATGGGAGTTTTCTACCCTTGGAGGGTCAGGCCTGCAATTGCAAGACCCTTCCTGATACCTACTATCTGGCCTAATGTGCTACTCTGTCTGTCTTAAGCTCACACGGCTATGGCTGGAGAGTAAAAAACAGCCATGTCAGGATTTTCAACACCACTGGAATCAGATACCCAAAGTCAGCACAGCTCTTTTCTGTAACTGTCACATCAAAGAGTGCAAAACTGTCCATAAAACTGCCTGGCTAAAGCAGATTAGGAAACTTCTCCTGGAAGCTTGGACCATGTTCCCTTTATACTCATTCCAATCCCTCAGAGCAAAACCCTCCAATGGCTTCTACCTACAAACTCTTATAAAGGTATAAAAAGCCTTCTGCCACACAGTCTCCAGTATCCCGCCTAGCCGTCACCTAGAATGTCTTGGTGAGACATTCTCTGAGGAGCTACTCTATTTCCCAATTCCCTACCCCCAAATGCCAGTCCTGGTTCTTCTCACCCTGCTCCAGTTGTTTTTGTCTTTTTACAGTACTGTCACTTTCAAACCCTAAGCCGAATATTTATGTGACTGGCCTATAGGCAGGGACTTTTGAATTTTGATCCCAGATGAACATATGAACATAGAGCAGAGTCTGACAAATGGTCCTATTTGATTTTGGGGTTTTTGTTTTTGTTTTTGAGACAGAGTCTTAGTTTGTTGCCCTCGGTAGAGTGCTGTGGTATCGCAGCTCACGGCAACCTCAGACTCTTGCGCTTAAGAGATTCTCTCGCCTCAGCCTCCCAAGTAGCTAGAACTACAGGCACTTGCCACAGTACCCAGCTATTTTAATTTTTTTGTTTAACAGGCCCAGGTCAGGTTCAAACCCACCAGCCCCAGAGCATGTAGCCAGCACCCTAACCACCAAGCTAAGGGTGCCCAGCCAAATGGTCCTATTTGTTGGATGAACAAATAACCTCCTCAGAAACAGCCCAGAGCCATTTGGAGTTGGGCCCCAAGCAAGAGAATTAAGCTAATGATGCCGTTCTGGGCCAAATCAACTTTTTACATTTTGTGATTTCTGCTATTATTTCCCCAAACTTTACTCATTTGCCTCCGATGTTTATAATTTGATGATATCTATATACTACACAAATTATTATTTATTGACTGATTTTCTTGAAATTGACTGAGTACTTTTTTTTTATTGTTTGGGATTCATTGGGGGTACAAAGAATTAGGATACATTGATTGCATGTTAGGTAAAGTCCCTCTTGTAATTGTGTCCTGCCCCCAAGAGGTATGCCATACACCCTGATCCCCCAACTTCCTCCCCTCCCCCCCTCATTCCACTACCCACTACCATGTATTAGGTCATCTACTCTGAGTATTTATTTATTTATTTTGGAGACAGAGTCTTGCTCTGTTGCCTAGGCTAGAGTGCATGATGTCATACCTCATAGCAATCTCAAACTCCTGGGTTCAAGTGATCCTCCTGCCTCAGACTCCTGAGTACCTAGGAATATAGATGCCCCCATGACACCCAGCTGATTTTTCTTTTCTTTTCTTTTTTTTCTGTGAGACTGAGTCTCATTTTGTTGCCCTGGGTAGAGTGCTGTGGCATCACAGCTCACAGCAACCTCAAACTCCTGGGTTGTTCCAGTAATCCTCTTCCTGTAGCCTGCTGAATAGTTGGGACTACAGGCACCCGACAATACCTGGCTAACTTTTTCTATTTTAGTTGAGACAGGGTCTCACTCTCGCTCAGACTCATCTCAAACTGCTGAGCTTAACCAATCCTCCTATCTCAGCCTACCAAAGTGCTAGAATGACAGGTGTGAGCCACTGTGCTTGGCTTCAATTTTTATTTTTTTAGCCTTGTCCTAGGTGATAAATATCTATGAAATCATGAGTGTAGGGTGCTGGTTAAATTAAATCTAAAAAAACTTTAATGTCTTCTATGTACCACCTAGAATGGTTCACAGGTAGTTAATACATATCTGCAAATGAATGAATAGAAGACCCAGATAAAGAAAGTTCCACCAGGAACTCTTTCACCTCCTGCTTCCAATGAGAGGTGGTCTTCTCTGGGGCCCAGCTGGACCCAGAAAGGGGGAGCTGTCTTTAGTAGTAAGTGCTAAGGGCAAGGGCTGCTTCACCCCTGGGCATTAGCAAGTGTGGCCTAAGCAAGGGTGGCAGAAGGAAAAGGCTCTCTTACCCATATACAGATGGTCCTCGGTGGGGTCATCCAGAACCTGTTGGCACAGCCACACGAAACAGGGCCAGCAAGGAGGTGGGGGAAAGGAAGAGAGAGAACAGATATGAGCAGGAAGCAGTATCCACATGACTGCATTTGCCAACAGGAGGGCTGCATTTGCACAGCTCTTCCTAGCTGAGATGGAGGGCACAGGAAGAATCCCCACAGTGGGAGATCCTAATAGCCATTTGAAAAAGAAGCACCACCTGGCCCAGTTCTCAAGGATCTGACATAGCCACTAAGGAGGTTACAAATGGAAAGGGGCAAAATCCTCCCTGAGAAATGTCTCACTCTTGAATGGTAAGCCAGCCCTTCTCCTAGGGGACCTCAGACGGGTCTTCACAGTGAAATTCATATCCTATCTGGGCTCAAGTGACTCTTCCATGAAGCATCTCCATTGCTTCCTGCCCCTGCAGAAAACAATGTTTTTCTGCCTGAAACTGCCAGAGCACTGTCTCTTTCTCTCCGAAGGAGAGGTGCCAGGCTATAACCACCTTGGTTGCCTTGGTGACATCCCATATAGGGCTAGGCACATATTAGGTGCTCAGGAAACATCTGATTAATGAGCAAATGATGTGCTGGTGAAGAGGCCATATGCCACTGGGCAGTGGGGAGAAGACAGATCTCGACAGGACCCAGGGCCACTCACTAATCAAATGCCCTTGGGCTTTCTCTAACATTGCCAACTCCAGCATCTAGCAAATTGAGATCATGAAACTCAGTGTGACAGATGGAGATGATCTACAGCTGCCATCTCTCATCTTTGGGAAGAAATAAAAGCAGGGTCTTTGGCTAGATTGGTCCTCTGACCTTTTTCCATATCAAATAGCCTTTCTCAGGCACACAAGATCAACAAAACAACGGGCCTGAGAAAGGGATGCATGCTAGACAGAGTTGAGACAAACATCCTGAAGCCAAGCTGTACCCCAGCGGGGAAGTCAGACCCAGGACCTTACCCATCTGATGGGTCCCAGGCCAGGTGGCAACAAACCCTCATATCTACCTAAGGCAGGGATATAGTTCTCCAGATAGAGGCCTCCAGCCCTTTGCACATGCTGTTTCTTCCCCAGCAGTGCTCTTCCCTGTCTTCTCCATCCAGGAACCAACCAGAGCCATGTCAAACATCACTTCCACTGAAAAGCCTCTACCAGCCCCTTTGAGCTGAGCTGGCTCCTCCTCCTCCACCCTCCCATGACACTTTAGATATCCAACATGGCACTTTGTCACACACTGTTTATAAGTCCTTGTCATCTAGACATGAGGTGCTCCAAAAATGACCTAGAGATTTCTGGGGGGCCCCAAGATGCTTTCAGAAAGTTCATATTGTTAAAACTATTTTCACTTTAAAATCAAGACAATACTTGCCTTTTTCACTCACATTTTCTACTAAGATAGAGGAGTTTTCCAGAAATCACAAAACTAATGATATCACAACAGGTTGAATACAGAAGCAGATATGAGAATTCAGATGTCTTCTGCTAAGCTAAACATGAACCACAAAATTTCCAAGAATGGAAAACTACACCACTCTTCTAATTTTTATTTACAAAAAAGTTATTTTTCATAAAAATATTTTTTGTTAACATGTAATAAGCTTATTGTTGTTTTGACATGAATAGCTTTTAACTTTATCAGTTTTAAATTCCCATGTGGTAAATATTGGTAAATATAACTCACATAAGCAAAAGTACTTTGATGTCTTCAAATAATCTTAAGAGAATAAAGGGAAGCCTAGGCAGGTGGATCGCTTGAGCTCAGGAGTTTGAGACTAACCTGAGCAAAAGTGAGACCCCCATCTCTACTAAAAAAATTTAAAAATTAGCCAGAGGTTGTGGTAGATGCCTATAATCCCAGCTACTCTGGAGGCTGAGGCAAGAGGATTGCTTGAGCCCAGGAGTTCGAGGTTGCTAGGAGCTATGATGCCATGGAACTCTAGCCCAGGGCAACAGAATAAGACTCTGTCTCAAAAAAAAAAAAAAAAGGAAGAACAAGAAAATAAAGGGGTCCTGAGACTGAAAAGTATGAGAACTGCTGATCCACAGTAGGTATTGGCAAACTATAGCCCAGGGGTCTTCAAACTTTTTAAACAGGGGGTCAGTTCACTGTCCCTCAGACTGTTGGAGAGCCAGACTGCAGGCCCTGAGATGAGTTGGCTGCTAAGCAGGACAGGCGGTGGCAGTGAAAACACCCGGCGGGCCAGATAAATGTCCTAAGCGGGCTGCATGTGGCCCACGGGCCATAGTTTGAGGACACCTGCTATAGCCTGTGGGCCAAATTCAGCCCTCTCCTTATGTGTGTGTGTATATAATTATATACTCTGACTATATATACTCATATATGTATATACTCTGCTTATGGGTGTGTATATATATGTACCCATAAGCAGAGTATATACATATATATATATATATATACACACACACATATGTATATATATCATTTTTTTTTTTTTTTTTTTTTTTTGAGACAGAGCCTCAAGCTGTCCTCCTGGGTAGAGTGCCGTGGCATTACAGCTTACAGCAACCTCAACTCCTGGGCTCAAGCGAGTCTCCTGCCTCAGCCTCCCAAGTAGCTGGGACTACAGGCGCCCGCCACAACGCCCGGCTATTTTTTGGTTGCAGCCGTCATTGTTGTTTGGCGGGTCCGGGCTGGGGATTCAAACCCACCACCTTAGGTGTACATGGCTGGCGCCTTAGCCTGTTGAGCTATAAGCGCCAAGCCGATATCTTTTTTTTTTTTTCAGACAAAGTCTCAAGCTGTTGTCCTGGGTAGCGTGCCATGGCGTCATAGCTTACAGCAACCTCCAACTCTTGGGCTCAAGCAATCCTCTTGCCTCAGTTTTTCTAATTTTAATAGAGATGGGGTCTTGCTTTTGCTCAGGTTGGTCTCGAATTCATGAGCTCCAGCAATCCACCCATCTCAGCCTCCCATCCTCTGCTTATGTTTTATAAATAAAGTGTTATTGGAATATAGCCACACTCGTATGTTTAGATAATGGTGGCTTTTGTACAACTACCCACAGGTATGGTAGAAAGAGGACCAGCTTCAAAGAGAGAGAAATGGGCCAAACACAGGAGCTCACACCTGTAATCCCAGAACTGTGGGAGGCAAAGACAGGAGGATTGCTTGAGGCAAGGAGCTCGCCACCAGTCAGGGCAATATAGTAAGACCACATCTCAACAAGTTTTTAAAAAAAATTAGCCAGCAGGGTGGCATGTGCCTATGGTCCCAGCTACTGGGGAGGCTAACGCAGGAGGATCAGTTAAGCCCAGGGGTTTGAGATTGTAGTGAGTTATGATGATGCCACTGCACTCCAGCCTGGGTGAGAGAACAAGACTCTCTGTCTCAAAAAAAAAAAAAAAGAGAGAGAGAGAGAGACCAAAATGGAATGATGGGGGTAATAAATAGTCTTATGTAGATATGAAGGTTACATAAAATAACAATGGTAAAGGAGCCCAGAGCAGGAAATACTACTCAGCCCTCCAGTGGCCAGTGTGGTGTGACTTGGCTCTACCTAGAAGCCAGTGGTGCAGTGTCTGGAAATTAACAAAGCTGGGGCTGGACTGAGCACACCTCCTTCCCTCTTCCATGTCCTCCCAGCCTCACCTCCACCAGCTTCACCACGTTGGGGTGGTCCAACTTCTTGAGGATGGCAATTTCCTGGTACACCTGCTCAATGGGGCCTCTAGGCTGGATGCAGCCCCCAGGGGCTGGCCGGGTGCCTCGGGGTGGGGGACGACCTGGAGGAGACACAAATGGACCTAGAGTCAGGGCTAAGAGACTTTTTTCTTAGTAGTTACCGCAGAAGACAGCAGTATGTAAGACAACCAAAGGAGGCTCAAGTGGCTAAGGTGCCAGCCACATACACCTAAGGTGGCGGGTTTGAATCCAGCCCAGGCTCGTCAAACAACAATAATGGCTGCAACCAAAAAATAGCCGGGCGTTGTGGTGGGTGCCTGTGGTCCCAGCTACTTGAGAGGCTGAGGCAGGAGACTCACTTGAGCCCAGGGGTTGGAGATTGCTGTGAGCAGTGAAGCCATGGCACTCTACCCAGGGGGATAGCTTGAGG